CAAAAAAAAAAAAAAAGTAAGTTGCTATAATTAAAATTACAAAATGTTCGTTGTTCTCTGTCTTTCCTTGGAAAACTAGTAGCTACTACGAGGAACAGAAAACCTAATACTACCAAAATAAGACTCCATTCTGTTGTGTTAATGTCTTCCTGGACTCATGGCCTCTGGGCTTAGCCTTTTGCTCTGTCTTGCCTTGTCCTGGTTGAAATCCCAGTTCATCGCAAAATTCAAAAACTTTCTAACACATAGCTTTCTCCTACCTTTAAAACTTCATTTCCGTCCTAACCCTGTCCTTTCAGCAAAATCTGTGTGTGCACAGACTGCACGCGGCCCTGGACATCCAGTCCCACCACTGTCTCTGCCAGGCCATCCTGTCCTTTGTCAAAGATGCTCAGATCCCTTCAGAGGTCCTTACCATGAAAAAGTGTTTAATCTCACCTCTGGGTGGTGGTTTTTGGTTTGTTGTCTTGTTATTATTTGCCCCTTTGTTTAGCTATTAGTCACCTATGGGTTAGCATTGTTGTGGCTAAGTCTGTCTGATTTATGTTTGATTCACTCAAAACTATTGATTTGGGCCCAAACTCATGCCAGATACTAAGCTACAGACCTAGACAAAATGGGACTTATAGATTAGTAGGAAAAAAACTAACAAGACTAGTCTTTAACTAGAGTGGTAGCTGGAGGAGGGAAATAGCAGGACCTGCACAGAGCAGCACACACATTATTGTCCTCATCACTCCTCAAGTGAGCTCCGAGCATATTTCCTTGCGTTTAGTTCCTGCACCATGAATGCCTTTTTGAATTGAACTAAATGCAGAATGAAGACTTTAGAGAGGAAATGGGGCAAGGGGATGGGATGGAGAGGGCAGGGAGGGGAGACTGAAAGAAGCTGTCCCTCTGAGGCATTGGGAATCTGAGACCCACCAGCCAGCTCTTGGGTCTGCCCCACAGACCTGAGCAACCAGTTCTGCTCCACTCCTCAGAAGAGAGGCATTCTTGGCAAAGAGCTACTGCTGAACCCGCCCCCCCCCCAGTTTGGGAGTTTCTCTAATTCAAAATAGATAAAGGGACTATATTTGTTGTTATTGTTAGGGACATGATGAAGGGAATGTGTACAATTTGTTTCAAGGTAGGTTCCCCCGCATATTTCTTACATGTCCAGTTGGCTAATTTAAGGGAAAAGTCCTTATTGGAAAGCCACTTTCATTACTTTGGGGAGTCCTGGAGTTAAGAAACTATTTTATAGCAGCATGCCCTGTTGATACCAGTTGGGGCATTTTGAGATTCTAAAGTGTGGGTTGGCCCAGTTCATACTTGACTTCTGGCTCTGCCAGGTGCACCCTTGACTGAGTCCTTTTCCAGATCACAGTTTCTTGTGCACTGATGAGGGTATTGGGAAATACACTCTTTGGTTTCACATTATTCAAACATGGAACGTTCTGGTTTTTTGAGGAGTCAGTCCACCTACTTCATGCTACTATTCGGTATATCCTTCACCATCTGCAAAACGGCCATAGCTCTGAAAGTAAGCAGAAAAGGCCTCCAGGAAATGGCCCTGGGCTCACAGAGCTCATGCATTCATTTAATGAACACATGTATTAAATAGCTATTATGTGCCAGGAATTGGGCTAATAACAAGGCAGGACCTCCAGTCCTCGAGGACTGAATGAAGGTAGAGCATAGCAGGTGCACCCTGAAGAACCTGTACCTAAAATGAGTACCTTCCTTTACAAAGCAACAACAGGATTTTATTTTATTAGCTTTTCCAGCTCATAGCAAATTAAAAGTAGTAAACAGAGAATGTGTTGATAACTGTAAACACAGAAATGACAATAGTTATAATGAAGGAGGAAGACAAAGAACCATACAAAGAAGTTGCTAGAATTTCAGTCTGAACAGACCATTTGATGTGAGGCCGAGACCTAGTGAATCTCTGTAGCCCCTGAGGACATCATTGCCTGATGCACTCCAATAATTTATGTTCCTGGTAATGACTCTTAATAATTCTGGAAGAAATGGTAAGATAGAAACAACTATAATTCCTTCCTTTCTTCTCCCCTCTCTCTCTCTCTCTCTCTCTCTCTCTCTCTCTCTCTCTGACTCTTTTTTTCTCTCTCTCTCTCTCTCTCTCTCTCTCTCTCAAATTTTTTTCTTTAGTTGTACTTGGACACAATACCTTTATTTTATTTATTTATTTTTATGTAGTGCTGAGGATCGAACCCAGCACCTTATGTGTGCCAGGCGAGTGCTCTACCACTGAACCACAACACTCTTCTTAAATTTTTATTTTTGAGATTTCTCTCTTAACCACCCAAATGGTTAAAATGTTTCTGCTTCAGAACAAGTCAGTTACCTAGGAAATCTATTTATGTGGAAGAGCATAATCCTCAGCAAAACTGTGCACATGAAACATAACTCTGGTGTGGTCAAGGCATTGCCATGCATCCAACCAAGAATGAGCAACTGTTGAAGGATAGAATGTAGTCAGCTACTCTGAATATACTGTGAGCCTAACTTAATCACTGAAAGAGTCTAAAGAACACTTGCTCTAAAATATATTCTTAGTGATCATGTATGAAAACCACACCATTTTTCATCATTGAAGTGCAGTTTGGTAGAACACACAGCTCTGGGGAAGATGGCCCTTAGGCTGCAGAAGATAAGGGGCTGCCACAGAGGAGGGGGTCTGGGTGGGGATGATTTGTAGCTAACCGTCTTCATCACACTGAGCTGATCTGAAGGGGAAGGAGTCATGGTGGATCTGTCATTTGGTGAGTGACCACAGTTCAGAACCAGTGGTCAGTAAACCTTTCTTAACAAGAGAGAGTAAGTAAGTCAGACTGGCAGATTATGTGGTCTCTACCAGTTACTCCACTCTTGCCATTATAGTGCAAAAGCAGCCAGAGATAGTTCATAATCAAACAGTGTGGCCATGAGCCATTAAGACTTTATTGGTTTGAGCCTAAATGTAATTATGGGAACAGAGATGATATGCATACAGATCTGTATGGCAGTAGGAAAACTGAAAGAGTGGCTGCATCTGGGGGTAGTCAAAGTATTGGGCCTCAGTCAGCTTTTGATCCACTATGGGATATCAACTTGACATGGTAGGGGTGGGGAGCATTGATTTTGGCTGGATGGAATTTAGGGTTTTAGAATTTGCTGGGTACCGGTCAAGGTTTGGACATTCCTGGTCTCTGATCCCCTACTGTTATATTTCAGGCTTTAGAAGGTAGGCCCACTGTCTGAATGTCTTTTGGTTGTCACTGTCAACATTAAATTGTTCGTCTCCTCTGGAAAGCACAGAGTTGCTCTGTTAGAAAATTCTGGTTGATGAACCATCAGGAACCACTGCTTCAATCCGCTTGAGATAATTATTCCATATATGTCAAAGCTTCTTATTCCCAGCACTGGGCACTTAACATGTGATTCATTGTTCCATATTTGTGGAGTTGAATGTTCCTTTGGTCAAGTCCTGCCTTTCAGCCATTAATTCTCTGCCACTTTGGGGTGGGAGGGGTTGGCTTTATTGTTCATGATAGTCTGTGTAACTGTTGACCCTAGAATGTCCACCATTTTGAGGAATAGTTGCTGCTCTGCCATCTCAGCTTTCTGGACTTGTTCTTACTTTTCCTGACTGTCCTATATTCAATCCAGATGCTCTTTTTGTGAGGTGAAGGCAATGGAAGAAGAAGGAAATGTGGGAGAAAGGGTCAGGACAGTCCAATATGACCATTGCAAGCCTGCCCTTGCCCTTCAGCACACATATGGCCAGTATTGCTTTTGAGGGATTTCCTCTGCTGTGTAATGACTTAAGTTCCCAAAAAGCTTGAGTTGCACTTGCTTGCCCCAGGTCCACTACGGTACTTTTCCATGGTACCTACATCTGGTGGTTAACTCAAGCTGTCACCGTTTGTGAGGAACCTGGTTGCTGATGCAGTGAGCGAGAAAGTTTAACATAAAGATGATGGAAGAGAGGGATCTGTGCTTTCTGAACCTTGTAGCACATGTTGAGAATCTGTATGGACATCAATCTTTTCATATTCAGAGACTCAAGTTAGAACTACTAGGAGGAAAGGCTATTTACCCAACGCTTCTTTCTCTTTCCTGGAGAGAATATGTGTACAGTCTGTGAGCAATCTGGGGTGTACCAGTTTCTTCCATTCATCACAAGCACCTCCACCAACTCCCCCACCAGCAGCCCTGGTAGGAGATGGCCAGGGCTGGAATGTGACAGGCTCACAAAGCCTGGCCAAGTGGTGGGACACATCTTTGAATTCACTAACATTCTCTACCCTTTGCCTCATTATATATAAGGAGACCAAAACTCAGAAATTCTGTCTCTTGTCCTGGTTAATCAGGTAAAAAGCCTGATGTTTTCCACTCTGTTTACCTTTATCATCAGCTTGGTAGTGCAGTGAGTTAGAATGTCTTCATGGTTGTGCCCTGACACTAGCCCTAACTAACTACTGCTTTTCCTCTACTCATCCCTGATGCCCCAAACAGCTTCAGTGTGGGCCCCTGGGTTTTCCATGCTATAGAGGCAGCAACGTTTCTTCTGGAGAGTTTTCCCCCAGCGTTTGCTGTTCCTCCAATCCCACCCCTTCCCCGTCTTTTATGTCAAAATCTGAACTTATCTGCTGAAGCACTGTCTGCCCAGCGGAGCCCCGATAGCCAAAGAGGACTAGGTTCTGGTCCTCCCCCTAGGTGCTGTATCTGCCACTGTGCTCCAGCTGACCTCTGGCCAGACATTTGCCCTTTGGAGGCTTCCTCTTCATTATTTGTCATGTGAAGGTTTGGGGCAAGGTAGGCCTATTTCAGAAAGACTAAGTTAACTCTCAGCAGTAGGAAAGACAACCAGTGCTTTAAGTGAGCAAGGTGTTTAGGCAGCATTTCTACAAGGACCTACACACAGATACTTATGGCTCACTTTGGAAAGGAAATTTTGTCAAGTCTCCTTAATGACAACATCAAGTTTCTGGGTTCTTTTCCTCTTTCAGATGCCAGTATGGACAGAATAGCTTATGATGCTTATCCACACCCACCACTTTCGAGACATTGAGCGCAAGCCGGAATACCTCCAGCCGGAGAAGTGTGTCCCACCTCCCTACCCTGGTCCTGTGGGAACCATGTGGTTTATCCGCGACAGCTGTGGCATTGCCTGTGCCATCGTTACCTGGTTTCTGGTCCTCTATGCAGAGTTTGTGGTCCTCTTTGTCATGCTGATTCCATCCAGAGACTATGTATACAGCATCATCAACGGAATTGTATTCAACCTGCTGGCCTTCTTGGCCCTGGCCTCCCACTGCCGGGCCATGCTGACGGACCCCGTGAGTATGTCTGGGCTTGTTTTGACCAGCCCACACTCTCCTCCTCTGGCCCTGACATGGCCAAAGCCTGCATGCTCCCCCTGGACCTCGGGAATGTGGAGAACAGAAGGGCCAGGGTTGGCTGGGAAAGTGGGTCCCTCCATGTTAGAGTTCATGGACTCTGGGGGAAACAGGCCAGCGTCTGTATTACAACCTATCTCAGTTGAATGGTACCATCTGTGCATTGATGTACACCTTAATTGAGCTACTGCAGGAAGGGGTTTGTCTGGGGGAATCTGTCCTCTGGTTCAAATCAGTCCTATGTCAGGTAACTTTGGAGTCTGGAGTGAGAAGGTTGAAGCAAAAAACATGTTAGGTGTCTGGTCAGGATGCGAAGATAGGACAGGCTTGAAATTAAAGCTACACCCAGTTCTAGGAACCTGCACAGATATGGTTTTTACTGTGCGTGGGTAAGGTTCTCTTTTTCTGAAAAGCTGGACAAGCCTGTTTTGGGCAGCAGCCAGTGCTTCTTGGTGAATATGTGTGAATAAAACAGAGGTGATCTGCTCAGTGACCTAACCACCTGTACCAAGCTGTGCAAATGGCTATTGAATGTTTTTACACCCTAGTATTAGACCCTCCATTCCTGTTTCTACTCATTTTCTTGTATAAGAAAAGCCAGAGGATTAAGTTATTTGATAAAGACCTCTGTAGCTCAAATTGTTTCAATGTGTGGGATGTGTTTAAGTTAGAAAGGGAAAACACTGCTAATAACACACACAAATTTTGTTTCTGTGTGCCCCAAAAAATATAGTAAAGATGATGTCTTGAGCTAGTTTTCTTCTCAAAGGGCTCCATTTCCTGCTGGTTTAGGTGGCAGATTGTTAACTGTCCCAAGGGAAGCTGGCTTTCCTAGCTCAGTTACATGTCAGTAACTGGTCCAGACAGGGCCCCTTCTGTGCACGTGCCTCAGGGAGCTCACACACACTGGCATCACAGGTAGGGGCCTCTTTGTCCAGGGTTGGTGCTGCTTACAGGATCGCCAGGCAGTCATCAGCTGCAGGAAACAAAGCATGTGGTTATGCCTAAAAGTGCCCCCAGACACAAGGGTATGAAAGTATCAATTTGGTCATATTGAAAACAAGTATTCAGAAAATCTTACGATGCCTTGCTATTGGGGGACACAGGAGTAAAAGACATTGTTTTGCTCAGCATGTATTTTACTGTCTATTAAGCTCCTAGTGCTGTTCTGCCCTTAGGGTGTCCTCTTTCTAGGGGAAAAGAAGCAAGGGCAGCTGCGGATGATGAAGGCTGTGGCAGAAGGAAGCGTGGTTCATGGTTTGTGGTGGAAGAACAGGGAGGAGATTAGCCAAGCTAGGTGGGGGTGACTGGAGAGGAAGTGGTGCTTCAGCCAATTCTCATCAGAGCAATGGCTATTGGCAGAGGAAGTGGAGGGTGATAGAGCAGGAAGACACGGGCGACATTCCAGGCAGAGGGACCTGTACAGACACAAGCACGCCAGGAGTGTGGCTCCAAGGCAGCCAGGCATTGTTGGGAATGGTGGAACCTTAGGAGGAAAATGGTGTGGGTTGGTTGGTAATGGTGGGTGTTGAAGGAGGGTAGAAGTTGGATGATGACAGGTGGTCAAAAGCCCCTGAGGATTTTAAACAAAAGAGTGACAAAATCAGATTGTCATTTTACAAGGATCACTGTGGCAGTAGTGCAGAGGAGCTCTGGGAGACACTGATGGATCGAATAAAATGAATGATCATGTTTATTGAGTGCCTGCTCAGTGAGAAGTTCCTTTCTGAGCAGTGAGAGCAAGACAGACAGAAATATCTACTTGAAGGTCACATTCTAGTGAAGCAATCTGGCAGCAAAGACATTATTGAATGACATTATTGTAATGTTGGAAGAACATAAGTTCTTTAAAGATGGTAAAACAGTGTGACTAGGGTGATGTGGTGTCTTTAAAGGGGGACTGTATTCAATCAAGGTAATCTGGGGAGGCTTCTCCTCAGTCAGGCCATTTGAGCAGACCTGAATGACGAGAAGTTGCAGGATCTGCGGGCAGAGCCTTCCAGGCAGAGGAGAGAGTAGGTAAAAGACCCAGAGGCAGAAGCGAGTATGGCATATTTGAGAAATAGGACTAAGGCCAGGGTGACCCAAGCAAAGAGAAGGTGGGCAAGGGAATGGAGAGAGCTGCAGAGGCCAGTTACACAGGGCCTTGTCAGCCTGTGAGAACTTTGGTCTTTACAAAGGCGATGCATGATGTGCACCGTGGTCACAGTGGAGGTTCAGGGTGGGATGAGTAGAAGCAGGGGACTAGAGGAATTGTAGTAACCCAGATAAGATGTGACAGTAGCTTTGACCAAACTGGAGGTAGTGAAGCTGCAAAGAAGCCATTGGATTTAGAGTATGTGTTAAACCACCATCTCTTAAGTCTAGGTGCACCATAGAAGCCCTTGGAGAACTTTTAAAGTGAACTGATGCCTGGGTCCACCCCGAGAGATATGGCTCTAATTGCTCTGGAGGCAGGACCTAGGACTTTGGGACACAAAAGCTCTCATATGTCCCTCATGTTCAGTGAGGCTCAGGAACTGCTGTTGAGAAGAACAGAGATTGTCAGAGAGCGGGCCTTCCAGAATCTAGGCTCCAGCAGCTGGCAAATGACTGGAATCCTTTACTGAATGAGAAAGTCCAAAAAGGAATAGGTGCCAGAGGAAAAATCAAGGTTTCTGTTCTGGCCAAACTGCCCCTACAGTAAGTGCAAGCAGAAATGCTAAGTGGACGGTAGACAGCCAGCCTTGAACTAATGGAGGGCTGGGACTGGAGAGTGTAGTACGGAGGTTATTGCCTTATAGATGGCCTGTGAAACTAGGAAGATGGATATTGGACCATAGGAGAGGACACTTCCACCTTGACATTCTTGCTGCCCTCACATACCTTTATTCTTTTATAAACCATATAGCAACGTGCATTCTCTCTAGGAACCTCCTCAGGCTGGCAGGACAGCATGGTTCTCACTGTAATATGTCACTCAGCTTCCAGTCCTGAATGAGTGGGAGCTGCTGCTACATCCCAAATACCAGTGAGCTGCTTATTGGTGCGTTTTGCTGGTAGTCCCAAAGAAAACCAGGTCAGAAAATGAAGAATCTGTCAAATAGCTACCATTAGCAAGGGAAGCAATTCAAAGCAAATCCTACAGACCAGCCATCTCAGGATCTTCATGCCACCACCTGCTTTTCAAACACCTCCAGCATATGGCATCTTATGCAAAACCCAGTATGTAAAACAAGTGAAGCTGCAGAGGTGGGAGCCCTCAGGGCACCACTGAAGCACCTGGGCTTCTAAGGAGCAGAGTTGGAAGCCCAGATCTCAGATACAAGAAGATCAATTAGGGTCCCCTTTTTAATACAGCAGGGATATTTGTTTTGAGAAAGAAGGGCTCTAGGAAGTCCCTGATATGATAATAATATTTTGTACTCAGGAGTTCATGTTGTGCATAATTTTTAGTAAAGTTACATCCAGAGAGTATAAACAGTATATGTGTTGTGTATGATTTTTGGTTAGTGCCAAAAAAGAGGGAGAGAAGGAAATCTCTTATGTGATCTCCCATCAGACAATTATTGTCCCACTTCCAGGTTTAAAATTTTATTCCCAGTATAAATTCAGAACAATTGCAACCACCACAGCTTTCTGGACCTTTGAGCAGTCATTTACTCCAACGCAGCCATAGTTGGGTCCACAGAGCTTGAGCAGAAAGCAAGAGAGGGAAATGACTCACAGATGTGTAAGTGGCCCCTTCAGAGGTGTTGCTGCCATTTGAGAGGTAAGCCCCATAAACAGAGGGAAGAAGACAAATGGACCAGGAGACAGGGCAGGCATCTCACTAGACCTGGCCACCTGCCAGGCCTGGCCTGGAAGCACAAGGATGTGGGCAAGGGCATGTCAGGCTGGTATTTAATCTCATAATGCCCTCTCCTTGCCCACTGTGGGGTTGTAATGTTATCTCCGGGAATTTTCTGTGTTTCTGAAACACTTCAGGCATTTAGAGGTCTCATGACTCCACTTGCCCTGAGGAGGCAGCCTCTTGAAGACAACCTAGACTCAGAAATCCTTATCTTGAAAACCTCCCTCTCCTTACCCGTTTCATGATTTCTCTACATTTTCCGGCTCCAAAACATTCTATTTCTTCATCTTATGAACACCCCTAGGAATCCTTAAAAAATTAGGTCCAGGATAATGTCCATCTCCCAGAAGACACCTAAAGCTGAGATAGCTTGCTTCTGATGGCTCTAGCTGCCAAGCATTATGCAATCACAGCAGTTGCACAAAATCTATGATTACTTTATTTTTGCCCCTTCTTTCCTTAGACCTAATCATTTACTTCACCAATTATTTCAAATCGAGATTTGAGAAAAGGAAGAATATAAATCCATTCAAATGAACCATATTGTTAAGGAAAAGAAAATTCATCTGTCTGCCTGCCACTGCACACCCCACCAAGTCCCATCCTGTGAACACCTCACCGTAAACCAACCTCCCTAACTGACTTAGGCCACTGAATTTATTTCACTTGCTGAATGTCATCATTGGACATGTTGGAGCTCAATTCATATGTGCAGTTGATGTTCCCTTCTGGTGTCTCTTCTATACACTATGGCACATGCCATAGTGTATAGAGCCACTTGGCAGGAATTCCCTCCGAAGGGTAACACAGGAGCATGATGTGGGCCCTGTGGAAAGACAAAGGGAAATGACATCGCAGGTTAGGGGCCTTGCCTCAGGGTCCATTTGAATAGAGTGCCCCATTCTCACACGTGCCACTCAATAACCCATCAGTGAGCCTAGCCTCTTTTTGGCTCCAGAGAGAAAAGTGACCAGTTTGGGGCTCGCCTATCTCCTATCTTTCTGTGGAGGAGACTGGAGGTTCATAGCACAGGCATGTGGCTTGTTATTTTATTCCAGGAAAGCTATTAGAGGGAGCATTTTCTGCCCAGACCAGCCAGTGTACACAT